ATTATTATTATTATTATTATTATTATTATTATTATTATTATTATTGTTATTATTATTATTATTATTATTATTATTATTATTATTATTGTTATTATTATTATTATTATTATTATTAATTATTAATTATCGTTATAATCATAGTTCAATACAATTTAAGTTTTGCAAATATTTGCATCTATGCTGTGAAGAAATGATGAGTGATTTCTTGCAATTATTTAAAAATGTAAAGAAAATCATAGCAAAGTGATAATTGAATGTATGAATCCAAGCCAGTACTAATTAGAGATGAATGGAAGTCAAGAAAGTCTGTCCAATATTATGACCATTAAGTTTCACCAGTTAGAAGTTAACTAAAAAATATCAAAACTTAAAAAATCAGATATCATGAATATCATAAGATAAAAAATATGTGACGTTCATAATGTATAATGACCAATTTCTGACCAGTTTATAATGGTCATTTATCACTGCATGTGCATGCGACAACGATATGTGACAGAATTGAACAGTATATTTCAACGTTTCAGCTAAAGTCATGAAATTAATTGATGCTATCGTTATCACAGTTAATTATTATGAATGTCGTCAAAAAAGCTTCTAGTAACAAATAAGAAAAAGAGAAGTAATGCAAATAAATCAAATGAGAAAATGTGAATTTTGTTGCTAATTCTCATAATCCGGTCCCGGTAAAAGGAACAGGAGAGAGTATTCAGGTCAACTGGAACGTTCACTAATCCAAAATACAAAAGATGCAGTATTGTTAAGTTGTATTTTTGTTCTTAATTTTATTATTTTGTAATCTGCTAAAATCATAGATTGCAAAAAGACGAAAGATTAATTTGATTTTAAATTTTATTTTATTTTTTTTTTCTATACATATATATGATGAAGTTTTGTCGTTTTGATAAGCTTTCAAAATGAAGTAAATTGAAGTGGAAAATGCGAGATATTCATTTCTATAGCAACACAAACAGCATGAATTTTCTGTTGTTACATTATCAAATTAAATTATTTTAATTAATACATTCTCTTCCTTCATCAAAAAATTTGCCGGCTAAATTTAGTTTGCCCGTATCGAATGTTCGGATCGGTTCTAAACCTTCACTAACAAAACCATTTGGTATCACTATTGAATATTTCTTCAAACATCGCTGCAAAAAAAAAAAAAATGAAATTTCCGTCGAAAAATTTAAAATTATAATTTTCGGAATTGTCAAATATATTGATTGAAACTTGAGGGGAATAAATATAATCAATGGGAGATGTTAATTTGTAAAAATCGGAAAATACATTGATCTTCCGGAATTGTGCTTATCATTCATTTAACAACAGTTATCACCAACATAGATAGTTTGCTGTAGGGAACATTAAAAAAAAAAGGCACTAAATTTGCTTAATTGTTAATATAGCTGAAAGAAAAGTAAATAATTCCACTCACAGCATTTTCATCATCACAATCATGATATAACTTCAGCATCGGATCAATATCACTAATCGATATCTCATGGCCTTTCAGTAAGAAACGACCTTCACTATCTGTTGTTCCTTCATCCATGAAATCTTTTATATATCGACCTGAAATCTACAAGAAATTATTCTTAAGCAGAAAAAAACTAATTTTTTATTGCAAAATTATAGCCTAAACTCTTTACTGATAATAAAGAATTCGAATATATGATAGATAAAGCAATAATTTGTTTCACATTTGCTATGTTAACAATTAGAATATAAAAGTTTGGGAAATACTATTTGATTTTTATAGAGATATAAATTTTTCGTCTTTTTTTCTCCCGCTCTCTCTCTCTCTCTCTCTCTCTCCTTCCCTTTCTCTTTCTGAAACTGAAATTATTAAAAGGTTAAGAATACGAAAAGATAGATTTAAATCATTTAAGATCATTCAAAGCAAAAGATTAAAGATCATCAATGTTTCAATTTTTTTAATTTGACATAATTTTAACATACAAATACATATTTACAAATATGATGTGGAAAATATGAATAGAAAGAAATTCTAACAGAATAATCGTTTCATCACCCCTGACCTTTGCCATCATTGTAAAGTTTCACTTTAACATTAACAGCAGGTTTACCGTTACACATCAGTACACCTTTTACTGCAGTACTTTGTTTTCGTCCAATTTTTAATGATCGAAATGCAATGATCGTAGGAAGCAATAGCAAAAGAAATGTCTCATGTCTCATCTGCAAAATTTTTTTTTCTGCACTTTCTTCGAATTTCTCATCCAAAAAAAAAATTCCAATTAATTTCAAACACTAACATTTCCTATAGGTAGGTGCATTTGTCCTAATGACAATGTCAAATTGTTTCACTCGAACAGTTATAACTATTGGAAAAAGGACAAATATAAACAGAAAGACTTATCGTCTTTGCAGTTATTCAAATTTTAATTTTAGCAGAGGAATTGCAGAGATTAATCATTTTCTCGGGAATAGGTTTGATAATCACTTTAATCGATTCTCTCGCAGTTATTACTATTGTTAAATAATAAAACTTTTTCTTTTTCCCTAGCAAAATTTCAAAAAAAAGGATTGTGAAAAACATATAGGTACGAGTTATTTTAGCGTAATTTAACAAAAAAAAAAAAGAAAAAAGGAAAAA